CAGGGACAGTACAGCACACAAAAATTAGAAAAACTAGACAATCCATTACCAGAACCAAACTAGGAGATAGGGCATGACTAGGAATAGCTTATCCAAATAACTGACTTCCTCAAAAATAAAATGGAGCAAACAAGTAATGACTCCACCAGAAAGTAACTGGGTGACACAGTGGATAGAGCACTAGGACCAGAGTCAAAAGTCCTAAGTTTAAATCAGGCCTCAGACACTTGCTAACTGTGTGACCCTGAGCTAGTCACTTAACTTCTATTTTCTCAACTGTAAAATAGGAATAATAATCACATCTATCTTACATAGTTATTGTGAGGATCAAACGAGATAATATTTGTAAAGTGCTTAACACACTGTCTGGCACTAATGGGAACTATACAAGTTTAGTTTATGGGTACTATATAAGTTTAGTTATGAAAATAATAATGATTGCATCATGATGGTATGGTAATATTATTAAACTAATATGACATACTTTAACTTATAAATTATATAATTATTATCATTGTTGTTATTATCTATGATATAAGAAATCATAGAAAAAAATCAAAGTGAAGAAAAAATGAAGCATATGAGGTTCAAAACTTTAAAAATCACCAGATTCTGAAACTTAACAAAGACCCTGCATAACATATTTAAAAAAAGGAAGGCAGGAAGAAAGCTACCCAAATTTACTAGAAACAGAGCCAAAGTGAAAAAGAAATAATCCATCAGTCACTTCCTGCAAAGAACCACAAATTGAAAATATCCAAGCATGTCACAGAAAACATCCAGAGCTTTCAGGTCAAAGAAAAAAGTATTGCAAATAGCCAGAAACAACAACACAACAGTGTGCATACCAACGAACTTCAATCAGGATCACATAAGACCTAGAAGCCTCTGTTAAGAAGGAAAGAAAATCTTCGAATACAAAGCTCCAAAAAGCAAAAGATAAACAGGTAAAATTAAGAATAACCCACCCTGAAAATCTGAGTATAATACTACAGGATAGGAAAAAGGACATTTAATAAGCATTCTTAGTGAAAACATCAGAGCTAGTTTGAAGTTCAAACACACATAAAAGAGAACCCTAGAAAGGCAAATGCATTTGAGGAACGGAAAGGGGTTAAGTGATGATGAAATACATTTTCATACAGGTGGAAGAGACTAATGTCCCTTCAGAATCCCATTGACTTCTAGAATCACAGAGGGACTGGAGAAAGAGAAACACAGGGGCTGGCATTAGCTGGATTCCATAGCATTGGTTTTAAGTGAGGAAAGAAAGGGAAGGAAAAGAAGAATATGATAGCAATGAACTGAAGAAGAAGGAGAATGAATTTGCTATTTCTCATAATTGGAGTGTGAGAAAAGAATAGTATATAAGCATGAAGGAGGGCATCTGGGGAAATGGAGTCAAATGAACCTCTCTCATCTGAAATGAGCAAAGAATTATTGAACTTGTAAACACAAATAATTTGGTATAGGAACATACTCAATTCAACCATGAAATACGTGAGAACAGGGAAAGGGGATCTGAGATAATTTAAAAGAGAAAATAGAATTTGGAAAAAAATAGTTACAAATAAAACAAACTTCAATTTCAGAGGATGGATAAAAAACCAAAGATAAAAAAGAGAAAGTTAAGAACCAGTGGTCAGGATCTGGATTAAGTAAAGAGAAAAGGGTCAGAGAAATGCGATCAAATACTCTTAATTATAAATTACTAGCATTGATCCCATTTCTTTTCTTTTACTACTTTCTTCACTTTAAAGAAAGGAATAGGAGGGAAAGAATAGGGAAAATATAAGAAGATATGATGGCAAGAGAAACACAGTTATCGATTTAAATGGTATGAACTCACCCATAAAACAGAAGAGCATATCAGAATGGATTAGAAAGAAGATTCCAATAGCATTTCATTTATAAGAAGCATACTTGAAATATAAAGATTCATATAGAGTTGAAACAAGCATAATACATTATGCCTCAAGCAAATTCAAAAAACAATTAAGAAATGCAATCATTGTATAAGATATAACAACAGCAAAAAATAGATATGGTTTAAAGACATTAATCTGGAAACTGCATTGTGATTAAAGGTACCATGGATGAAGAAAAATATCAACATTTAATAAATAATATAATGCACTGAATTACATTGCAACTAAGCACCTACAAGAAAAATACATCACATTATAGAGAAAAACAGAAAGTAAAACTATAATAGTTTAGGATCTTACTGTGCCCTCTTTTCAGGCCTAAGCAAATCTAATAAAAAGATAAATGAGATAAAATAAAAAGATATATGAGACAGAAAGGACCTCAGTAGAATTTTAGAAAATTTAGATATGATAAATATGCAACAATTACTGAAATAGAATCAAAAGATGTATAAATATTTCTCAGCTATATGTCACCTTTCCAAAAAAAATTAAAACTATGTGTTGTGGGTGGTGAAAGATGAAATAGCTGAGGTTCCATCTTCCAAGGAAATCAATTTTTTTTGGTTTTTTTTTTTGGTTTGGTTTTTGGTTTTTTTGGTGAGGTAATTGGGGTTAAGTGACTTGCCCAACGTCACACAGCCAGTAAGTGTCATGTGTCTGAGGCCAGATTTGAACTCAGGTCCTCCTGACTCCAAGGCTGGAGCTCTATCTACTGTGCCACCTAGCTGCCCCAGGACATCAATTTATTAAGCAATGCATGTCAATTGCCTAAGAAATCAGGACCAGGCCTCTTTCCTAGCTTAAGGCTGGATCCTGAACACAGGGAGAGAGTGGCTTTTATTCATTAAGAACAATTCATCAAATAAGACCAATTAATTAAAAGGAAACAATACAACATTAAGTAATCTAATTTCTAATTGGAAGAAAGATTAGGAACTTTCCAAGTTGAGAGGGGGACAATGAACAGGTGCAATTCCCTAAATTCAGAAAAAGAAGTGTACCACTCCTCCCAAGAGTCTCTAGACAATCAAAGGAACATGGACATAATAACTGATTAATCAGTATGGGGCCAGTTTTCAAATAAGACGTATGAGTTGCCTGAGATGTATAATCATGACAGTTCAGGTAGGTGGCACAGTGGATAGAGCACCAGCTCTGAAGTCAGGCGGACTTGAGTTCAAATTTGGCCTCAGAACAAACACTTGACACTTAATAGCTGTATGACCCTGGGCAAGTCACTTAACTCCAATTGCCTAAAAAAAATAAATAAATATAATTCTGAGGAAAACTCCTTACATCTTTGGATCTAACCAGGCTTCTGGTCAGAATAACTAACCTAGGCTTTGGTTAAGGGTCTCCAACTTTAGGAGTAGGGGTTGTCCAGTCTCCCAGCCATGCAGGGAATAGGGATAGGTTCAAACAATATAGTAAGTTTTTCTCCCAGGTCCCACAATTGAATAAAGTTTTCTCACAAGACAGAAATTGGACTAGACCCATAATTGAATAAAAAGGAAACTGAGTTAACTCCAGAACTGAGTCACAAGTTAAAATCAGTGTGGTTACTTAATTTCAGAAATTACCCAATTGCTGTCCTCATTCCCTCAGTTCCCTCAGCATTGGACATAATATACCATAAATCTTTGAAGAAAAGCAGAAATATTACACACATCCATAACAAAATAAAAATAAAATCAATAAAGAGCCTTTGAAAATTTGATTTAAACTTAAATGTAGACTAAATAATTTAATCCTAAGGAATTGGTGGGTCAAAAACAGACTGCTTTGGCTATATATATTTGATGAGTTTTTATTCACAGTGTCCCAGAAGTCTTAGTGCAGTTTAAAGTTATTTAACCTTGGAACTACACTCAGACTTTTGGGACATCATATTTGTATTGCTATTTTTTTAATGCAGTGGGAATAGTGCAGCTACTATTCAGAATACTTGAAGCCCATTCAGAAGAAAAATGTCTAGATCTGGTTTTGTCCTCTAAAACAAAGCAAGATGAATTATACATTGTGTGTCTGTACCAATGAAAAACTATTGTTTTGTCATTATTTAATGTTATTTTTAATGTCTTAAAATATAAATTTATAATGTTAAATATGACTGTGTTTCCATATATAGTAGGATCAGATACACTTAAAAGCTACTAGTCTATGAAGGTTACCTCAAGCAGAAGATATCACTATTTCTAGCAAGATCTAGTGATATTTTCTTCTTCTCATGGGTCTACATATGCTGGCCAAAGTAAATGAAACTAGTAAAATCTTTCAGCTACATCCAATTCTGATGCATGCATATAGAACTTGCTTATTTCTTCTTTCCAAATAATGTGACTAGGGAACTATGATCATACAGAAGTTACTCATCTCAAAACTTCATCATATCAATCATTAAGTATTTATATCATAACTTTCATTTATTAACTATTGTTAAAATCCAGGAGTCATATCATTTGTGGTGCTTGTGTTGATGAGATCTTTCTTACAAAATTAATTTCATGTTATTTACACTAATATTTTGCTGGGGTATTTTAATAAAATCATGTTGTCATTTGAAACAAGAAAAAAAGTATTGATGGGACAAAGAACAAACCATAGAAGCAATAGGCAATTTCATAAAAGAAAATTACAGTTATGAGACAACCCGCCAAAAAGCTTTTGGAATGAAGCAAAAGAAATATGTAAGGGAAAATTTAGATCTCTAACTCTTTCATCAATAAAAGACAAAAACAACAGATCATTGAATTAAGTATGCAACTTTAAAAAGTAGAAAACATGTAGAAGAATATGGACAAGAGTTTATGGAATGGGTAGATATGCACGGATGGCTTACAGCCTTCATTGTTGAAAGAAGATCCAAATCAATTATACCACAGATCAATCTTAACATTTCTTTGCTGAGAATAATAATTCTTCACTACTTTAGTGGAGCTAATCACACATGGTTGTAGGTATTTCTTCTCTTTGTGCAGATAGCAACACATTCACAATATCACCATGAAAATCTTTTCCCTGAATTTCCATAAATTCTTCATAGAGAATGTGCCCAATATGCTGTGTGTCCTCCTTTTGTCAGGAAATAGATTAAAATTAGAACAGCAAAGAGAAGGTTTGTGCAGCCCCTATATGAAAATGACACACAAATTTGTGAAGAATTCCATATTCTAATTAAAATGGTTTTGCACGCAAAAAAAGTGCAGTTAAAACTATAAGAGAATCAACTGAGAAAATCATGGCAATTTTCTATGATAGTAGTATAATATATGTTAACAACAGATTCAAACTTATAAGAACAGTAGCCATTCACTTAATTGACTCAAATAGGTAGTTTTCAAATTGAGAAACCTAAGGTATCAACAAACATATTTTTCAAAAATTGTTCCATTAATAGAGAAGTACAAATTAATGCAAGTCTGAAATTCTACCTCAGACCCATCATATTGGCACTGATGACAAAAAAAGGAAATGACAATCCTTGGAGGAGTGGAAGGAAATAGGTACACCAACACACTGTTGGTGGAGTTGGTAATTGGTTCAACCATTCTGGAAAGCAAGTTGGAACTATGCCCTAAAAGTCACTACACTGTGTATACCAATAATACTGTTTCTAAATCTAAACCTTAAAGATATCAAAGAAAGAGGAAATGGACCCATATGTACAAAAATATTTATAGTAGCTCTTTTTGTTATAGCAAAGAATCGGAAAGTTAGGGGGTGTCCATATGTTGAAGAATAGCTCAACAAATTATGGTATATAAATGTAATGGAATGTTATTATGACATAAGAAATAATGATATGGATAGTTTCAGAGAAAACTGGAAAGGCCTGTGATAAAGTGAGCCAAACCAAGGGAACAATTTAAACAATAACAACATTATTAAAAAAAAAAAAACTTCAAAAAGCTTGAGAACTCTAATAGTGCAATGAAAAAACTTTTTTTTTTCCACCAGAGGACAGGAGATGACATATGATACCACTTCCTGAGAGAGAGCATAGATTCACAAGGCAGAATAAGAAATGTATTTTTGAACATGGCCAATGCATGAGTTTGCTTTGCTTGACTGTGCATAATTATTATAAGTTTTATTATTTATTTATTTTTGGTTATTCAGTTGGGGAGAAAATAAGTGCTTGTTAATTTAAAAAATTAATTTAATTTTAAAAATCATAATGTGCTATAGGCCTTCATCTGGTTTTTTTTTGTTGCTGTTAATTTCATAGCTCTGAGTGCAACACTCAAACTCTCCATCTGTTATTCCTTATTCTTGCTAAGATCCTAAGATAGCGGTGCTTTGGCAGATCTGTGATTTCATTGGTTTGTGCTAGAATGTAACACAAGCCTCAAAGAAACATGGTGTTATATTATGTTTTATGTGAGAATATGTATTTTGTTACATTGTGTTATGCCTAAGGTAGTGATTAGAGTGGACTTCAGGTTCACAAAGACTAAGACTGGCTGTGTGACCCAGGACAAATTAAGCAACTTCTCCGATCTCTAGGCAACTCTGTAAGACTCTAAGTTATAGAGCAGATTGTGATCTCCATTGGAAAGTTTCCTTGCCAAGAATTCCATATACCTATGAAATTAAATGTCCAGTCCCCTCCAAAACTGTTGTTATACAAGAACAAATGCATATGACTGCAGGAGGAACAATCTAAGACCTCATAGAACATTCTAGAAGTGGACTGGGATAAACAGGAACCTTTCTTGGAAGCTTGAGAATTTCCTTAGACATATTGAGGTGATCTGTCTCTGCCTGCCCTGCTGACTGAGTGGAAGAAGAAAAATAATGATATAGTTTATCTTAGGACAAGTCAAGTTATTCTGTACTTTGAACAGAATAACACTAGAACTAGAATAACACCCAAAAGTATTGATATGGACACTACCTCCACCATAGCCAATTTTAATCCCTCTCTCCTCATTCTATGAGATGTATCTTAATTTTTTTAATAAATTCTCTAAGGACAATCTATCTAGTGGACTAAAGGCCTTCCTTTTGTTCTTTTAGTACCTTAGGGGTGCTAACAGTTGAGTCGTCCATCTGCTGTGTCTCATTTTTAAAAACTGGATTGTTCTTTTCTGATTATAAATACACTTGATAATGTCTTTTAAATAACTTATCTCATACAAGTCATCATTTGTTATGTTTTGGTAATGTGGTCAAATATGTTCACTATACTATATGTACATGTATATGCATATACATGTACAAATATATCTCTAACTCCCCCAGATCATACTTTTGTCTGTTCCATCTTTCTGTGGAGCAAGCTTCCTAGACTTTTATAGAACACAACAGTAATATTTGCCATGAGCATGGACACAAGGAAGGGCCTTGATCTATCACATCCCCTGCCTGTCTCAACAGATATCTCTCTCCAGAAAGTAAAAACAAAAAACAATCTAGGGATAGCAATCATGATTTCAAATAAAGCCATGGTCACAAGAGGCAATATATGTAACATCAATTTTTATGTGTACGTGTATTGTGTGTATGTATGTGTGTATAGGATACAGAATATACACACATAAAGGAAACGTTAATTAAATTGGACAGATAAATAGATGATAAAACCACATGGGGAGGTCTTAATATACTCTTTTCAGAACCAGAAAAATCTAAAAACAAAATAAACAATAAAGAAGTTAATGACCTGAATAGAACTTTAGAAAAACTAGAAATGATAAAACTCTGTCACTGAGCTGTGTCTTACTTTTGCAAAAAAAAAAAAATGAACATTAGTTTCTTTTAAAAAAGTAGAAATACCAAATGCATTATTTGTAAATCATAATGTGATTCAAATTTTACTTATTAATGAGTCCTTAAAGAAAAAATTAAGAAATTGATTGGAGACTAAATTACATAACTGTAAAGAACTGAGACAGCTAGGTGTCTCAATAGTGCTGGGCCTGGAGTCAAGAAGACCTGAATTCAAATCCAGCTTCAGACACTTAGTAGTTGTGTGACCCTGGTCAAGTCAATTAATCTCTGTTTGCTTTAATCCACTGGAAAATGAAATGGTACCACTCTAGCATCTTTGCCAAGAAAACTCCAAATGGGGTCATGAAGAGTTGGGCACAACTAAAATGACTGAACAACAACAACAAAAAGAACTGGTAGATTGAAAGGGAAAATTACAGAAACAATAGAAAAAATTTATTGAAGAAAATGACAATAATTTGAAAAATCCAAAACTTATGATATACAGATAAAAAAGGAAAAAATTGCAATTTTAAACACTTTCATCAACAAAAATAAAGAACAAATCAACATACAATTTTTAAAAATTTGCAATATTTTAAAATCCTTGACTAAATAACAAAGTAGAAATTCTGAAAATTAAAAAAGATATTAATGAAATTAAAATGAAAAAGATTATTAGATTGATCAAACTGGGAGCTGCTTTAAAAAAACCAATAAAATAGATAAATGTTTAACTAACTTAATTTTTAAAAAGAGAGACAACCAAATTATATCAAAAAATGAAAAAAGAACTCACAACAAATGAAGAGGAAATGAAGGAAATTATCTGAAACTATTTTCTACAGTTATTTGTTGACAAAAGTGATAATTTCAAGAAAATAACTGTGTCCTTGTAAAAATATAAAATGTCATGCATAACAAAAAAAGAAATAGACTAAGTAAGCCCAAATCAGAAAACAAAATTGGTCAAGCTATATAATAAATGATATTTATCTAAATCTAAATTCAAATATTATGTGTAATTGAGAAAGGTCAGAGGCATTTCCAATAATATCAAGAATAAAGCAAGAATGCTTATGATCACTACTACTTAACTATTTTTATGTATGAAAGTATCCAAATTAATTTGATATATTAATTAATAAAATGTACATATGTATATGCACATAAATATATAAATTAATTTAGTTATCTAATGGTATACCATAAAATTAATAAAGGATTAGTTTATAGAATAGAAAAAAAAGTAATAATGAAAGTCATCTGAAGGAGCTGATTCAGATTTATAAAAATGAGCTATTCCCCAGGAAATAAATGATCAAAAGAAGTGAAAGACAATTTTCAAATAAAGAAAAATAATCTGTTAATGATCACATAAAATGTTTCAAATCATTAATATCTAGGTAAATTAAAATAAAAGTTACTCTGGGTTTTTTACCTCACAAAAAAGGAAAATGTCAGTTCTTGAAAGGGCTTTAGGAAAATATGCACACTAATAAAATATTGGTGGAACTGTAAAGTCCAGTCCTTCTGGATAGTGATATGGAAACAATCTCAAAAATCTCACTAAATTGTTCATATCCTTTGACTTGGATATGTCACTACAAATCCTATACCACAAAAAGGTCGAGAAAAAGAAAAGAAAAACATATGTAAAAATATGTGTATATGTTTCAGCTCTTTTTTCTTATAGCAAAGAACTGGAAACTAAGGGGGAGACCATAAATTCATAGCTAATCATGCATGTAATGTAATATTACTGTGCTATAAGAAATGATGAAATACTTGATTTCAAAGTAACTTGGGAAGACATGTATTAAATGAAGTAGTGGAAATTTGTTTTATTTAATTAGGCATATTTTTAAAGTATTTTGTCTTTTTTTTCCCTTTGTAGAGAAGGTGGAAAGGAAAAATAGATTTTTGTTCATTGAAAAAGTTAACTCTATTCAAAAGTTATATCTATATCTATATCTATATATATGCATATATAGGTGTGTGTGTACGTATATGTATGTATGTATGTATATGCCAAGTGTGTTCTTGCTACATGAGGGGGATTTGCCCAAGGGGTTACTCAGAGAATCCATCTAAGGAACTCTCAGCTATTCTGGGAATGATCTAGAATAAATCTTTTGTCTGTGATTAAAATCCTCAGGAATGATCTTAAAGAAATACTACTCAACAGCATCATTAATAGCACACTGCCGAAGAACTTAGGAACACTGAGACCAGAACCAAAACTTCAGTGGAGTGAATATGTGGCATTTCTAGTCCAAATGTATAACTCTACCTAGACTGAAGTTGCAGGCTTCACATCATCATTATTAATATTTAAGTGAGAAGCATGCCTACATACTTGTGCTTTGGAGACTCTAGAGGTAGACAGGATGTGAACACTCATGTCCAATTATAATAGCCAGCATTCATATAAAGCTTTAAGGTCAGTAAAACTCTTTAC